GGGTAAAACATATATTGCTAACGTTATTGGACAGCTCGTTACACTTGTACCCGGTGCTAACGTACTTATTATCAGCCCTAACTATAATTTATCTACTATTAGTTTCGAGCTGCAGCGTAAATTAATCAAGCACTTTGACCTAGAAATTTCTCGCGATAACTTAAAAGATCGTATTATTGAATTGTCGAATGGTTCAACTATTCGTATGGGTAGTTTGTCAACTGTGGACTCGTGCGTTGGTCGTAGTTATGACTTAATTATTTTTGACGAAGCTGCACTAGGAGCCGATGGTGAAGCAGCGTTTAACGTTGCACTACGCCCTACTCTAGACAAGCCCAATTCCAAAGCTATTTTTATTTCGACACCTCGTGGTAAAAACAACTGGTTTAGTCGATTCTTTGAGCGTGGATTCTCGCCTGACTTTCCCGAATGGTGTTCGATCACAGCTGACTACACCGAAAACACTCGCATGGCTGAGTCGGATGTAGCAGAAGCTCGTAAATCCATGAGCAAAGCAGAGTTTGAACAAGAATACATGGCATCGTTTACCACGTTCCAAGGTCAGATTTATCAACTTGCCGAAACTCAGATTTGTGACTATGTGCCCAGTGACGGTGATGAAGCCATTGCTGGCTGCGACCCTGGTTATCGTGACCCTACTGCTTTTGTGGTTGTGGTATATCAACCCTCGGTAGACAAGTACCACGTTGTAGACGAGTACTTAAAGTCGGAAGCAACCACAGACAAACACGCGGTGGCGTTTCAAGAACTGATTAGTCGTTGGGCGGTTGATCCGATCTTTATTGACTCGGCTGCACCACAATTTGCATCGGACTTGGCTTACCTTTACGACATAGCAACCATCAAGGCCAAAAAAGATGTACTACCAGGAATTGCCTATGTGCAAACTCTAGTAGAAACAAACCGCCTAGTAGTAGCACCACATTGCACACATACCTTGGCAATGTTGGATCAGTATCGTTGGGATACAAAGGAGACTTTAACCACGGAAAAGCCGCTGCATGATGAATTCTCGCACATGGCTGATGCCCTACGATACGCACTATATACATTCACATTATAACTACGCACGAGCCTGCAGTGATAATTTATTGGTGAGCGCACAAGTGGAGAAAAAATTTTTAGGTTGACATTGTGCTGCTCAAATGATATAATATGAAGAATTGCAAAAACGTGCCTAAAAAAATAAATGGCTAAAAATACAAACAACCGCATCCCGGTCAAATGGATCAGGGATAAAGCGAAAGCAGCTTATGAAAAGCAGTCAAATTGCTACGTATGTAACACAGTTGACGACTTAGAGCTGCATCATCTTCATTCCATTACTATACTGTTAAATCGTTGGGCTGATAGAAAGAATTACGACATTTCTACAGATGACGGAATCTTAGCTGTACGGGACGAGTTTATTGCGGAACATAA